GCGGAGCTCTGCCGTGGCGGACCCCCGCCGCCAGCGCTGTGACCCCGCCGTGTTTTACAGCGGAGCCCCGAGGGTTGTTCGTGCGGAGCCTCCGGGTCCTCGGCAAACGTAGACGCTGCCGTTCATCAAACATCCTGCCGGTATCCGAGCTGCTGACGCAGCACTGCCCGGAGGAGCGACGCCACAGGTAGGAAACCGCCTTCAACCGGTGTCTGTGTGTGGAAGAGAGCTGCTGTTCCTCAGCTTGTATTGCTGATGCTTCTGGGAGGATTACTGAGAGCTGATGTAAAAATTTTTGTCAGAGACCTGGGAAAATCTGTATTTTTAACTTTTAAAAATAAAGTAATAGAATCTAAAGGTAGTCTGGTTTGCCTGGTTTTAGATTCAGCTGTGCGCTGTTTGACCTTGGTCAGGCTACTGTTACAACACGCTTGACTGAGAATGCCAAGGCCTTGGTGTTCAGGTGAGTGCCCTGCTGGGTGCAGGTGCATAATGACCAGTCAGGAACTTGGCAGTTCTGTGCTATGCTGTCACCCCAAAACCTTCAGGAGCTTGGAGTCAGCGTTCCCCTGTTTTACCAAATACTATGAGATAACGAACAATCTGTTAAGCTATCTGGTGTTCTCAGACATTCCTCTTGCAAGCAGGGTGTCTGGAAGATTGAGTCTTTAAAAGAACGAGTTACTTTCAATAACTGAGCTTTTAAAGCAACTTCAGAGCTGTGCTTTAAGAAACTTGCTAAATGTTAGGATGCTTGGGCTTTACCACAGACGCTAATGGTGCTGTCCTTGGAGGCTGGTTCACAGAAACAGTTTTGCTAATATGTTTTTGTGTTGGACACCTAGTGAGAATTCTTTGAACCATGGGTGGAAAACTGTCACTGTCTTGGAAAACACCTGTCCAAAAGGAGAGTGAAGACAAACAGATCTTACCCAGGCAACTGGATGATGAAGATGAAATCAGGGATTACGCCAGTATCAGCGACTCTGCCATGTCCTGCGTGGGCACTGCATGTCGAAGCTACGTCAACTGCCCAACCTGTCAGGGAACAGGAAGGATCCCTGGGGGTGGGTGGTGTTTGTGTGCTGTCAGTGCTGCTTGAGCCGCTGAGGTTGATTCGTGCCTTCTTGCCTGAAGACCTTGGCTGAACCAGTTGGTCTTTATCACATCCCGTCAGGGAACATGTGTCTTGGTACCTCCAGCTCACTGGTGACTTCTGGGGGCTGCCTCCGTTGGGGGAGGATAGGGTGGGAAGGCAGATGCTGTTTCTGGGTGATTGCTCAAAGCCCACCCTGTAGCCCCTGGGGAGTTTCTCGTTTCTGCCCAGAGATGGGAAATGCTCAAACTGAGGGTTTAGCTGCATCACACTTGCCTTCGGACAGCGTCACCTGTGAAGTGAGTGCAGAGGGACACTGGCGGCTGTGCAGGGTCCTGAAATACAATTTGCTTTATCTACTTGTGTGCTTAGTGTGGTCTCTGATCTGCTGCCACCTCTTTCAGAGCAAGAGAAGCAGCTGGTGGCTCTGATTCCATATGGTGACCAGAGGCTGAAGCCTAGACGAACGTAAGTCCTGTTAAGTTTTCCCCTTTTCTCATGTTTTGAATGTTTCTTCTGCATATGAAGGAAAGTCCGAGTCCTCTGGGTGTTTTGTGCTCTGTCCTGCAGCAAGTTTGGTGTTCACCGTGTATTTTCAGCAATAGCAGATGTTGAACAGTCTGCATGCAGCTGTTGGGGGTTCTCCAGCATTTTGTACTGTCATGCACCATGTCAGTGCATGGGGCTTGACTCTGCTTCTGCTGTGACCTGGTAGCTGGCAAATGGTTCTGCACAAACCCATCTGTTTCTGGCACCCAAGCTTTTATTATCTCCTCCCTCTGAACTGGAGCAGAACTGCAGGTGCTTGCCTCTGACCAAGAGAGTGATTGTGGCCCTGGTGCTGTTTTGTAGGAAACTCTATGTATGTCTTGCTGTGACAACCTGCCTGCTGACAACATCTCTCAGTATTTTCTTCCTGTTTCCTCGCTCCATCACTGTGCTGCCTGCAGGGCTGAATGCCTCCTCCGTTGGCTTTAACGCCACCACCACCAGTATATACCTCAACATGACGGTAAGTGCCCAGCTCACGGTGGATCCGAAGGGCTCCCTGCTATCCCCAGGAGCCCTTAACCAGCTCTGGCTGCTGGCAATCGATGTCCAGAGTGCGTTACCGCGGCAGCGGCATGGCTGGCCTGGCTACCAGCAGGCGGGTCACACGCAGTGGCCCGGGTGCTCTATAGGAGAAGCACAGTGACTAATTCTGGGAATCCTTTCTCTCTTACACCCTTGAGCTGCTCGGTTGTCTCCCTTTGACTGTCACGGGAGACACTGCAGCGTATGTGCCTTTGTGGCCTGGCAGGGTGGACGTCTGAGGGTTTGAAAGGGATGATGCGGCTGGTTTGGCTGCGAGGTCGTAGCAGGGGTATATTTAAAGTAGCTTTGCAATGGGAAGGAATGGCCCTGCTGCAAGGTGATGTGTCTTTTGGGGTTGTTTTTTTGTTTCTCTCTAGAACGTGCTGAACATAACTAATAACAACTTCTACCCCGTCGCTGTTGTGCAGCTAGACATAGAGGTTTTGCACCAGTCCCTAGTGGTAGGGAAGAGCACCATGAAAGCCCTGCTGAATATGAGCCCTTTGCAGAGCGGCCAGGTGAGCTCTACAGTTTGTTGCTTTTTTTCCTAAACTGAACCCCCTGTCTGGGACGTCCAGATATTTTATGCTTGGTCCATTGTCATCTGCCTGCACATTGCTCAAAGCTTTCCCACGGCCAGCAGCCCACATCCTGCTTTGGGGAGGGGTGTTGTAAGAATTTCTGTGTTGCTGAGTGTGAAGCTAATACGTTCCTGAGCAAGGAACATCTGTCTGCTCTTCGGGTAGTGGGCTGGGTTTATGCCTGACTTAAAATGATGGCAAGCTTAAAAACAGGTTAGGCAGAACCCTGCTGGGAGCAGCATGAGCGCAGCTGATCCATTTTTGATGTAAAGGTCAGGTTTGTGGCCTAGATGACCTTTTTAAGGCCTTTTTAGATACAATTTCTGATTCTATTTTCTTACCTATTCTTAAAAACAATTGTTAGACTAAACCTTGAAATTCAGGTTCAGAGTCCTAATGAGAGTCCAGCTGTCCCTGTTTCAGCTCTCTCAATTGCACACAGACTAACTGTAGTTCTTGTGTACTTCCTGCTTTCTCTTCTGTTTGTATTTGCAGATCTTTTATATGGTGGTCAGTAGGATAGTGGACGACAACACCTAGTGAGTAATTCTTGAAGATTTCTTCCCTTGGTTAGTAAGTAACATTAATGCTTATAGGCTTTTCATGACTAGATTTCTTGTGCTGGCGCTGCCCGTAGAGCAGAGCTGAGTGAGCGTGTCCTTTCTAGTTTCACATGTGGAGCTGATCTGGGTATAAGCCTGGCACGTCGATTTTAAACTGACTTTCTTTGCTGAAAGTGTTGGCTTAGCAATGTTGTTTCCCATACTTTCTGATGAGTAAGTGATGATACCAATTTGATGTTTAGGTTGTCAACTTTAAATGCTCCATTTGTGAGCAGCTAAAGGAACCTTGTACAAACTGCCTTTCTCCGCAAGGGACCAGCGAACTGTGTGAAGTTCATAGCGACCAAAGCTTCTGCGCAGACAGGGCGGTGCCCATGCTTACTAGATCCACAGTTGGAGTCACAGCAAAACCATGTTTTACTGGTGTAGATACTGCTGGGCTTGAAGAACTTTGCCTGCACAGCTGTTGTCAGACTATTGTAAAGACAGATCTTTTTGGGGAAGCAGAGGAATCACTGAGGACAGGAGACGTATGGTACAGGCAGCTCCCGTGAAGTAAACTCTTCTCTTTTCTCTTCTAGTAACATTTGCACCTGGACAAAAGTCAAAGTTCACAATGTTCTGCTGCACATACAGTAAGTGGTGCTTGGTTCAGAGCTGTAACTAACATCTGTGTCACCTACACTGTTTCTCAGCTCCAGTCAGGAAGGTCTGCAGTCTCTGTTCTTCAAGGCCAGGGCTGCCTACAGTGTGAATGTGCTGTTGCCCACCTAGGTGTGCCGAGGTGTGAGGAAGAGATAGCTCTCCAAAGCTGCTGCCGCCCTGAGAAGTCCCTGGATTCAGGCTTACTGACAGCTCCAGCTGTCCCTGTTGCTTCAGGCAAGCTGGCCTGGCAGACTTCCTTCTGGAATACTGATTGTAGCTCTTGGGAAGTAAGAGCTTGGTCTAGAGCTAGAAGCACTGACTGGTTCAGTTATGCCTTCTTGCCTCGTGGTGTTGGGGGCAGACTCCTTCGCCCGAGCTCTGTCTGGGTGTGTGGATAACTGCCTCCAGGTGTGCTGACAGCAGCTGCGAGGGCAAGGGAGGACAAAGCAGGCTCTTCTGCAGGTTCTACTGCCTGAGGCAGGTCCTGCTCAGGGGGTGGACCAGAAGACCATGCTCAGCTTGACTCTTTTAGAGTACAACAGGCCCTGCTGGGAAAGCAAATGCAGGTTGGCTGTTCTTCTCTGCCAAGGGGGAAGGAGCACAACTGCAGTTTTTTTAATACAACTCCTGCTGCGTCAGGTTGTTACTGTTGTGGTCTGAGTTAGAGCTAAACCGAGTGTGTGAGATGGAAGCTCTTACAAGGTGTGGCAGTGCTGGACCACCTTCATGCAGCCATGAAAGAAAAGTGGTTTTCATTAGCTGAGTTTAAGCCACTTCAGAAAACAGCAGCAGAGTTGTCTCCTTGTGGCCTGTGCCCACTAGAGATGTCCCTGCAGTCTCTAGTGGTGAGCCCGCTCGTGCAGGATGGGCCTCTAGGTTCACCATCTGCAGACTGTTGTCAGTGAGTCCATGATTTCTTCAGGAAGGAGGAACTGCTTTTGCAGCAGGGTCTCTTTGCTTATCTAAAGCCAGGGCTTCACCTGCTGCGTCTGGAAGAGGACTGTGAGTATTAGGAAAAGTGCTGAGTGATGTGAAGTTTAAACAGGTAAAGTATGCAGAGAAGCCCCAGGCTACTCAAAACACAGTAAAGGTTTTGGACAATGTGGAGAATGGCTCTGGCTGTTAAGGCAACCTTGTCCTCCTCAGCTGATGCTGTGGGCTGACGGGACCTTTGCGCTCTCTACCTACCAGCTCCCTGTTAGCCAGAAGCTGAAGATGATTCCAGTCATCTTTACACTGTTCTGCACCACACCTCCTCCTGCTGGTATTACCCACCGATGGATTGCATAGTATTAGGAGAAACTACTTGATGCAAACAGCTCTTGGATAGCACAGGATAGTGACTGAAACACATGTGCTGTAGTTTCACTGACTCCTCGAACAGCCACCCACTGTGACTTGCACTGGCACTTTGGGAACAAGTAAATGGTGAAATGGCACAGGAGTGTTATGCTGAGGTAGGAGGTCTTAATGGGCTTCTAGAATGGCCAGAGCACCTGCTGCGATGGTACTGATCTGTAAAAGTTTCCTTTAATGCAGTCTGAAAGATGCTTTCCCTCTCCAACACACGAAATTTGCTGAGGGTCTCCTGACTGTTGTGTTCAGGGGTTACGTAATACGGACAAACCCGGATGGCAGTGGGAGCTCACCACGGGACCTTTACATCGTGAGAAGTCTCATCTGGGACAATCACGAGTGCGGTTCTGGTCTCATTTTGCCTTGCAGGGGTACCCTGACCTGCACGTACCTGTGTCATTCAGAGCAGTTGGCTTTTGAAGACTACCAGTACGTGGACTGCCGGGGGAATGCCACGCTACCTCGCCCGTCGTACCACCGCCTGCCATGACATAGACAGGTTGGCGGAGCTTTTGCATGTAGCATGTTCCACCACAAAGGCAAGTCACAGGGAGACAAACTTCTGGGATGACTTCTTAATCTGCGCTTTAAACAGGAGGCTCGGTGTTTTCTGGGTAAGACTTCCATCTCTCATGCAAAGATAGTAACACACTTGGCCTTAGGAACATGGACTCTGCTGCCCTCAGGTTCCAGCTTTCCTTTTTCTGTGCCTTATCGTGGCTGACGCCTCGGCAATGACCAGGGCACGGGGTGTCTGCGTGGTGCATCGGAGTGGGCCACGCTGTGTGACTGCTGCTTTGGAGGCAGCACCCTACTAGTCAGACTAACTCTAGTTGTTTTCTCCTTGTATAATTTTGCACTTCTGTCCTGAATTTAAGTATTTCATAACTTCAAAAAGGAGGGCTACATGAGACTTTTTGGCTGGATTACATCTGCATCACCAGAATCTAAAGAATCTAATGACACCTGCACATGAGGAAGAAACAGGACTGATGTCTCTGAGTCTTAAGAAAAACTACTGCATGTCATACTGAAATGAGAGTGACTCTTGGGTGACTGCTCTTTTAAGTTGTCCAGTACAGCAGGTGAACATAGGCATTTCTGCATAGATGTGTTTTTAAAACAAGCTCATCCATAGCTGTTCCTTAATGGCAGCCATTTCCGTGGGAAGAAAATACATTTTGTATCATGAACCAGAAGATTGCTGCTTTCCTGCCAGTGGTGTTTGGTGGTCAGCACATGCTGTTGGTTGTATTTTCTTGTATGTTTTGGTATTTAATGCTTCCAACTTTGAACAAGCATGGGAGAGTTCACCTCTGACTGGAAAAAGTTTGCACAAATATCAGGAAACAGCTGGTTTTGGGGCAGTGGTGTGTCAGGGTTTGGGGTTGGGCTTTTTTTTTTGCCTAAAGCTGCAGAACTACCCAACAGACTTTACAGAAGGAACAGCCCTGCAAGCCTTCTCTCCTTGCACGGCTGGCAGTTGTATCCCCCAAACGACGGAGGGGTTAAACGTTATTCCTGAGGTTCAGATTTAGATGCTGCCTGATGCTTTCTAGATGATAAATTGGAGCCTGGGAGTTACTCAGCAGTTAAGCATTTTCCTGCATCTGTCCCACTGAAATATAGAACCAAACTGTCAGAATAGTTGAAGATTATGAAAGAAAGTCTCTGATCCTGTTTCTGAAATACGCTTCTTAAACCAGCACCTTTAGAGCTGTTGCTGGGGGGTGCTCCCCCCTAGTGCCATCCCTTGAGATCACACTGAAACGGGAACGAGTCGCCTTCCCCCTCCAGCAGGGAGGAAGCAGCTCCATGTCTGAAATCCTCGCGGCTCATCACCGCTCCAAGTCCTTTTCGTTTTGCCCTGTCGTGGATTCTGCTCTGCACCGCCCTCCCGCGCTCCGGGCCTTCCAGCGGTGCTTCTCTGCAGCCAGGGAGCGAGCGAGCGCTCTGCGGGGCGGCTCTTCGCCCTTGCCGGGGCCGCCGCGCAGCTCCAGGGATGCGGGAGCGGGG